TTTGAAAAACGACTAGTTTTTGTATTTCACTCGAAATTAATCATTTGGAAGACTGTTTATGAAGTTTGTCCATAAGAAAAAAAACTTAAAATTTCTACCTATTATTTGAAAAAAAACTAATTGATTAAGTTTGATAAATAGTGGAATAATAGAAATTTAATTTTCGATCGGAGTTTTGTAATATTCTGTGTATATCCTGAAATTTGAATAATAGTTTATTTGTTTTCTAAAAGTATGTTAAATATATATTATTTTGATTGGGCATGAAAAAGAAAATTGAAAAAATTTCATTTAATTATAGTTGTAAATATTCTAATAAATAAAATCTTATTGAGTCTATAAAGATGATTAACTATGTCTGAAAGTATAGAGATTTATTAGAATATTTCTAATTCGATTTAATTTATTTGATAAATAATAAAAGAATCTCTCTTATTTAATAAAACTTGTCTAAGTAATTGTCACCTGTTAAAGTACATATTTACTGTAATTGAATACCGATTTAGTGATGATAAAACGGATGTTTTTGTTGTTGATGACGACTCTGAAAGGCAAGATTAATTTGTCATATATATAGATGCTTGTAGGTAGGAATTTCTATCATAATAGTTTAATGGTAAAAGAGCCAATAACCATTGTTGAAATAAGCAGAATAATCAATAAATGATTATATCGATTTCCGTAAAAATTATTTGTTTTTTTTTTAGAGGAAAAAAAAGTTTGTCAATATTCGTCGAAGATTGGTGTTATATTGAATATTGATAAAAGATAAGGTTTTTCTTAAATCTATATAATGATTAGTTGATTTATCTGTTGATAAGTATAGTTATATGTCATTCTGACATGAAACTATCATTATAGAGATGACGAAATAAGGCCATATATTTGACAATTTTATCTTGTTTATCACAGTTCTTATCAATAAAAAACAAAAAAAAAAGATTTTCTTTTCTCATCAGTTAATTAGCATTGAATTAAAATAAATATTTATTTAAATAGATCGTAAATATGTAATTTTCATAAGATAATAGAGATCTTCCTACGGTTTGTCAAATAAATAGAATAGAACTAGAAAAATCTTAATAAATCTCTATAGTTTAGAAGATAGTTAATCATTTTTATAAACTGAATAAGATTTTATTTATTATAAAGAATATTTTCAATCATAATCAAATGAAATTTTTCATTTTTGTTTTTTAACGCCGAATCAAAATAATATATATGTGACATAGTTTTAGAAAAAAAACAAACTATTATTCAAATTTGAGGATATATATATAAAGAGAGAGAGATAATTATGATTAAGATTCATTAAATTGATATGAAAAGAAAAAATGTGATAGTTATTGGTTAAAGTTTGTAAAAGAAAATATATAATAACTAAACAAAAAAAAAAAATCTATTTGAATATTTTCTATAGTGTAATAAAAGTGTTTGGATAGATTGAATTAAATGTTGAAATGTGTTCTTTTTTCTATTTATAGAAACTAAGAATAGGAAATGTTGAGTAAACAATTCAATCAGAAATTCTTCTTCCCGTTCGGAAATTTGTTTTTTTTTTGTTTTGATTTATCCTAGTAAAAATGTCTAAATGAGAATTGATATTTACTTCTAATAGATTTGAAAATATGTCTTTTTCTTAATTAAACAATAAAATAAGATAAATCATCAAGCTTCTCGATAAATGACTGTAAAATGATTTATTTCAATAATAAATCTTTTTGTTAAATAAATGAGTATTGAAATATATTTATTCAATATTAATTCATTATAGAATATAGATTTATTTCTTTTTTTAAATAAAATAAAACCGATTGAATTTAATAATTTTTATTAATTTTTTTTGATGAAGATTTTGATTAGATCGAATATAATTATTTCTAATAGTAGATTTATTCTTATAAACATAAGAGATTTTATTTAATCAATTAAATATTTCAAATAATTGTTTAGTTAATTAAATAAAATATATTTTATTTAAAGTAAAAATTCTTCTATTAATTATATATTGATATTAATCATTGATAATAAGATCGTTTTTTTCCTCTACTTAGATCCGACATATTAAAATTCTTACTTTAATAAGAGATTTTCAATAATCAATCTATGTCAAAACAAAAAGTTTATTTTAATAATAAAAATAAAAATAAAAAACTTTTTGAAATAAAATCGAATGAATATAAATGTAAATATATATATAATAGTATAGAAAAAAGGTAAAATGATTGATTGAGATGTAATTTATTGAATTTAGTTATTCTATATGAAGTAAACGTTTGTTTTTTGTTTTTTATTTCTATTATTATAAATAAATAATATTAGTTGAATACATCGAACATGAAAATGTCTGTGAATAATCAAACAAAAATCAGATAATCATTTATTTTGCATGTCTCATTTATTTTATTGTCGATATATTTAAACGTCAATATATCTCAATTTAGACGGGCACTTCCTTGGCTGCAAACATTCTACATACACACAAATCATCACGTCAACAACAGCATTCCTCACTGGCAACGACTCACGCATCTAGAGAAAGTGAGTTATAGAATGATTTTTGCATCGATCTCGTCTTTTCTTGTTAATCCCTTACGGAGATTTTTTTTATTATGGATATAACATTTCTCTTATTGTCTCTCTGATTGTTAGGTTTAGGGCGTTATTATTTTGTTTTTGTCAATTGAGGTCGATAATGATAAATTAGGTTTCGAAGGTCGTTCGATGATTGATATATATATAATAAGAAAAATAATTTTGTGTTAATTCTAATTATTATATTGATTTTATATATTCTAGAAATATAATCGTTAAAGATAAATCATTTTCAATAGAAATATTAGGATTATTTATCTTAATTGAATTTTTTTGTTAAATAATAAATAATCCTTTTTTATTTTCAATCTACGTCACAATTAACAATAACTTTTATTTTTAAATTTCTAAACGAAAAGTAAAAAAAACGATAGTTGGGATGTAAAATGATAAAATAATGAAAATTGTAATATATTCATCTTTATTAATGATATATAATCTTAATGGGTAATGATAAAGATCTAGATAAATATATTCGATTTAAAAGTATCAATTAACCTTATATATTCTCTATTGATTTCTAGGTGATAATAAGTATTAGTCAATAGTTGTATAAATGAGTATAAAATAATGAAAAATGATTGAATATTGTTAATCTTTGATTAACTGATGAAGGTCTGATTGTAAACATGTTATGTATGTCAATGAAAATGATGTTTTTCTTCGATTTTCTCATATAAAAAATGTGTTAACAGCTGGCACTTCCGGTGGGTGGTCGTTTATTTGTTCGATTAAGATATTCTATTATAGATTTATCTATATAGAAATATATTGATAATGACATAATAGAATAGAGATATAATTATTTTCATTTTAGATAAATATATTGATTAACATTATATTTCTACTTTTATTTATTGAAATAATAAATAATAATCATCTTCACTTTTTACTTTTGTTTGACATTTTAATAATCAATATTTATAATAAATATAATATTTTATTTTAAATAATTATATAGAAAAAGTTGAAAAAATTTCAATTTTTATCTTATTCTATATAATGACTAATCAATAGATATTTCAAATTTTCAATTAATTATATAAAAGAATCACAAAAGAATATATTTAACTACAATTCTAATCTTATTCGAATTTGAATAAATTTATCTGAAATATATTCATCTAATTGAATTAACCTTATTATCTATATTTGTTTTTATTTAATAATAGATTAGTATTATCTATTCTTTCTCCTCAGTAAACTTATGTTTAATTAATTATTTATTCAATAGTTTAAATATTAAAATAATATCTCTCTTTAAATAAATAACTAAATATTGATTATAAAATCTATAAAATCTTAAATAATTAATATTAAAACAAAAAACTGATTTGTAGAATGAGGAATTTTTATTTTGTTCTATAGGATTATTTAAAGATATATATTTCATCAACAGATTTTTATATTAAGAAGAGAAGAAGAAAAACATTCGAATTCGAACAAATTTTATTTATGTCTCAAAAAAAAGCAACATAGTATTAATAATATTCTCCTTATATTGAATAGATGAATAGATTTTAAATATCTAATTAAATCATTTTTTCATTTTTCCATAAATTAAAATAAAACTAATTAGAATAATAAGATGAAATTTGTTTTTTATCTTATTTTATAGTTTAATAATAAATAAAAAAAATAGAAAGAAATAATTTTGTTTTGTTTAAATATTGATTATTAGAGTTTTATAATGAAAAATGTGATTATTCTATATTAGTTCTAACCATGAATAATGTAACATATAGAAATAATTATTCTAAGATAATTAAAATATTCCTATTATTCTTTCATTTTTCTCTTAAAATCATATAAATCATTCTTGATTAGATTTTTCAATAGATTATCCTTCCCAAGTGACTTATTATCATTATATATAAACAAAGATAAAAAAACACTGATGAAACTGAAATAGTTTACATATATATATATATATATGTTTATTCTTATTTGAATTTGTTTTAGCTAATGATCTTAATGATCATCTATACAAACGATTTTGTGAATTAAGTCGATTGGCGAGTAATATCGAATGTATCGATCAACTGATGGATTTATTGCGTATGCAAAATTCAATAGATGAAATATTGACTTTAATAAGTCAAGCAACATCACCACAACTACATGCTAAAGTAGCTGAACTTATTCATACATTAGTTAATGTAAGTACTTTTATAATTCATTTCATTATATTAAATTAATCTTCAAATAATAATCGAATATTATTTATTTATTTTCAATTTTATATTTAAAAAGATAAAATAATGGCTAAAATTGAATATCTATTATAAATGAGAAAAGAATTTTGAATATTAAAAAAAACCCGTTAGCAGTAGTGAGTATGGGTGTGAACGATCGTCCCCACTGGCATTCTACCTAAATCCGGCACTAACCGTTAGCTGATTGTGATGTAGTTGTAGATGGTTTATCTATAGATTTGTAATTGTATAGAGTAAATGTGTAAGTTTTGATAATGATTTTATTCTATTTAAATAAAATAATAACTAACAAATTCTATATGATTTGTTTGCATTTGAAAGTTACTCAGAATTAATCGTTGATTAACTGAAAAAAAAGACAAGAAATAATTCTTATTGTTTTCGAATTATTTTTCTTTGATTTAAACAACAAAGATAGAATGATGGAATTTGAGTATAATCATTATTATCGACATTTATAGATCGAGAATTTATTCATTAAAAATAACCTTAACCAATTGAACTAATAGACTTTTTAAATAATAAATTTTATTAAAATTTATAATCTATATTAATAATTCGATGAGAATATTTATATATATTTAATCGATATATTTATCATATAAAATCTCTTTTCATCATCAATCTATATTTTGTTTATACACGAAAAATAAAATAAAATATCAGAAAAAACTAAACAGTGACTAAATTATCAATTATATATCATTGATAATTATTATCTCTATTATGTTATACTTACAAATCTCATCTAATTATCAATATATATATATCAGAGATTTAATTTGTTTTAATTATTTAAAATGTTAACTTGTTATTGATAAAATTGTCAATATATTGATATTATGTTCAGTATCTGTCTATTCCCCAGATCAAAGGTCGAATAAGACTATAGAGAGTAAGGCTAGAAGAGAAACAATGCAAATATTATAAGAGATTAAGGGTACAAGAGCTAGAAGAGGATAACCCTATTAAATCATTTGGCTACAGGGGTTATAAGACTATAATCGATATAAGGTTATCAATCCGTAGGGACTATCTTCTATATACATTATGTTGAGTATCTGTGTAGTCTGTTATTGGGTGATAGAATAAATGTTAGAGGTCGAATATTAAAGAAAAAAAAAAGTAGAGGTGCAGTATGGAGGAAATATCGTTAATATATTCTATAATATGAATAAATTGTCGATATTTATTTTAAAATAGTAATTAATATAATAATAGAAAAGAAATTGAAATGAATATAAAATAAAAGAATTTTAAAAAAACATTTCACCATCAATATAATGAGATTTTATAAATATCCGTTTATTAAAATCTTTGTAAATTTGATCAGTTAATATTGTATTATTACTTAGATGAATGAAAATAATAAATGAGTTTAATTATTTCATCGTTGAATTGATTTTTATATTATTTATAGAAAAAAAGAATCTATTCAGATTTATTTTAACGAATGATAATCGAAAAAAAAAATCCTTTTAAATCAAATAAATAATTTGAATAGTTAATTGAAATTGTTATCTTATATTAATAATAATAATAATAATAAAGAAAGAAAAAAAAAGGTTAGATAAATGAATTGATAATTATTATTTATTTTATTTGTTTAGACATGTTATCAAGAATTTCTAGGTTCTAATGATAAACGTGATAATATTGAAAATTTTGAAAATCATACAAAAAAATTATTAGATATATCATTAAAATTGTTATCAAATGATATGCCTTCAATTCAATATATATCATTAATAACAATAAATCGTTTATATGATATATATGTATATCATAATTTATTAAATCGTGCTAAATATAATGCATGTTATATACCATCATCACGAAGAGAATTAAATAATCATTTAATTAACAATTTTAATTCGAATTTATATAAAGATTCAACAATTAAATATTCAAATAATCCTACAAGAAAATCATCAAAATTATCAAATATATTACGTAAAATTTCAGGTGAAAATGATAAAAAACGAGTATCAACTATTGTTAAACAAGGAAATTGTTGTAGAGAAGATATATCAGAAAGAATTTCAGATTGTTCAATTAATAAAGATATATCAAATGATAAATCAAAACGATGGATTCCATTCAATAATAATGATTATATTGATCAATCATCATCAACAATAAAATCATCATCAACAATAAAATCATCATCAACAATAAAAGAATCAACATATGATTTAAATAATAATAATTTATTTAAATCAAATATAATTAAATCGGAAAATATTGAAAATAATTCAAATGATAAATCAGATGAAATATATCGATATGAACCATTTTCAAATATATATCAAATAGAACCAACAGTTTTATTAGGTTTAATCAGTATACGTTTAGATTGTCATAGAAAAGAATTTAATAATCGACCAAAATGTCTACCATCAACACGTTCACCTTTATGTACACATCATTGTGTTACTATATTAGCAGCTAGATTATTAACTATACTTTCTCAAGATCAAATTTTTCAATCAAAAATTATTTCAACAAAACAAAATTTTTCTTTTATTATTGATATATTAAATATTAATAATGATCCGGTAAATACTTTTTTCTTTTTTTTTTATTTACAAAATTATTCTCTTAGATAAATTCTTTTTATCTATTCAAATCTATTATTATATTCGATTGAATTAAACATCAATAACAACTTTCATTATTAGTCAATACTTAAAATAAGAGATTATCAGAAAGTGATCAATCACTAATATGGATTCATCTACCTCCTAATTATCTATCAAGATTTTAAAAATATTTCGGACTAATAGTTAATTCCTCTCGACATATTAGATTTAAATTATATTCTTTTAAGGATAATACTCTACTCCTCAGGAACATTAGGAAAGATGACGTCACCAATACTAGATAAACTATTTAATTGACCACTGATAGATAACTCTTATTTGAAATATTTATAGGATAAATTGATTTTGAATAGTAAAAAAGAAAATTTGTATCGTCAAAATAATAATTTATCTATTCCGAGATTGATAGATAATAGAAATAATAATATGTTGATATTGTTTAAGGAAAATTGTTATTTATTCTCAAAATTCCACTATAATAATAAAATATAATAAATGATTTATTGATATATGATAAAATTGTAAATTTGATTTGTTTAGCATTTAATTTGTTTAATTTTACAAACATTGGGTATTATTGCATTAAATCCTTCATATCATCAAGTTTTAACTCAAGCAGATATTCCTGATACTGTTTTACATTTAATATTACCAGCTGATGAAATGTTTTATACAAATCAAACAACTAAATTTGCTCGTTATGTTAAACATCTTGGAGCAAGAATACTTGTTTATATGGGTTTATTAACAAAAATTAGTAATAAAGTTAATTTATTTGATATACTTGGTATGTATTATATTATTTATATTATTATATTTTACAATTTATTTAGAATTAAATTTAATTTTTCCTCTATCGAAAATAAACTATTTCAATATATTTATTGAAATAATTAAAGAGAATTTTATTATTTTATATACTGACTAGATTCTATAAATATTCAATTATGACATTTTTTATATCGAAATTCATAAGAATATTTTTATCGAAAGATTCTTTCAAACTGATTTCAATCTGTGACTATTGATCACAAATAGAAATAAATAAATCGTCAACAAATTATATCTAAAATATCTGATATGACAAGAGAGGTCTAGTCTGAGAATACACATCCTCTCCCTCCTTGCCCAACAAATACCTGAACGAATCTATAGATGAAAAAGCTTTTTCGCGAATCAAAAAATGATTTTCTTTTTGGTATACATCCCCCGTCAGATAACAATTGGAGTAAATATAATAAGATTTCTCTTATTGAATAATGATATATTCTCTCTATTAGAATATATTTTCAATAATATAATATAAATATATTATTCAAAGATCTTACTAAAAATATCAGAGTGAATATATCATAAAACAATAACAATCTCTAATAATCATCTTATGAAAATGAATACTCTTATTATGAAATTATTTTATAGAATTTGTTTATCTATCCTTAGAATATGGTCTAAAGACTCTCATACTTTTTCAAAATTCGACTTCGTCAAATTATTCCCGAATTCGATCGACTCTTGAAATATTCTATTAAGTGGATCTTATCATAGATATATATATATATATCTAGATTTTCTTACCAGTATAATTCATATTGACTAACATATGAGAGGTTTGTTTTCACTAGCGTCAGTATATGACGGTACTTTGAATAATTGACAGTCAGAAAATAATAATTATCGGTATAAGGCTCGTTTTTTGTCATTATTATAATATATAATCAGTATGATATGCATTATAGAGAACGGTTTACTGATGGATAATTGTCTATTGTTTATCCAAAATGAGTGACATAGGGTTCCTATAGTTTAAATAATAAATTTTCGATGAAATTCTAAATAGAATTGGGCGGATACGAATTTGAAATATATTGAATAAGACGAGTCTATTTGGTAAAAAATGTTTTTGTTAACAGTCTTGAATAAAAGTTGATGTTATGAATTAATCTCTAATAAAATAATATAAAATCGTAGATATTGAAGCCGACGGTATTGATAGTGAAAAACCTCAATCATTTGAAAATAATTTTGTTCATCATATGGCTATTGGTGAAACCATTGTTGGAACATTATGGACATCATTTGATGGAATTTCTATTGAAAAATTACTTGATCAATTACTTAAAGTAATTTTGATTTTAATAAAAAAAAAAAAATTAATTTTTTGTTTTTCTTTTAAAAATGAAGAATGGAATAAATCAAAAAAAAGCATTGTCAAAAGAAAGTGAAGATCTATTAGAAGATCGAACAAGTCGAAGATCATCATCAACAATGATTAATTCAAATGATAATCTTCTTTATAATCTTTCATATTTATCATCTGTGATACATCCTGTTATTATTATTCGTTTACTTCAACATAGAATATTTACACCATTATTTAAAAAAAAATCTTCAAATATTAATTCAACAATTGAATCAAATAAAAATATTTCAACATTAAATAAATCTGATAAAATATATAAAACTAGATCAACACCAACACCAACACGAACAACATCAATATCAAATAAAATTATTAAAAATCCTCAATTAACTATAAATAATGATTTATCATCAATAATAACAAATAATTCTAATCAATCAACAACACGTAAATGGTTTTGGAAAAATAGTGAAAAATCCAATCAATTAAATGATCGTAATTTATTATTAAAAAATTTTATTGAAAATGATTTAATATCATCATCATCAGGATCTTTATCTAAATCAGGAAAAAGAATTCATCCTATTGGAGATATTATTTCATTTGAAAAAGAATTATTAAATTTACCATCATTTCAATTAAGTGATTCACAAAATCCACTTTTACCAAGTCCAACTTGTTTAAGTTATGATTTTCCAACACAATTTTATCAAATTAATTCAAATGGAAATATTCTTATTAATCAAATTAATTCAACATCAAATAGAAATATTGATTCAACATCAAATAGAAATATTGATTCAACATTTTTTTTAGATCAATCAAAACAAACTGATCATCATTGTAAGTTAAATCATATATTTCTATCTCAATCTTAATTTAAATAAAATTTAATCATCACAAATAAAAACCTTTTTTCTATAATTATTAGTATCGATTTAGTGAAAATATTTCAAAATCAACGAACGAATAAAGAAAAGAAAAAGTAGAATAGAAATAATGTTATTGAAAGAGAGAATTATATGTTAAATCAATCAGATATTCAATGTGTGAAACATATAGACTGATATTAGACTGAGAGAATATTCGATAAATAAAAAATGTTTTTATTCTCTAACCTCTTTCCCAGTGAGATTTGTGCATCTTGAAGATATAGATATATTTATTTCTATTTATTGTTGACACAGACTTCAAATGCATTATTGATTCCTAACTCTCTTTACTAGAAAATGAATCTAGTCGATAAGCATCTAAGTGTATTTCATCGAAACCTTCTATGAAAATGATTGTTTTAGTTTTTGCTTTTTGAAAATATATATAAGCCGGACAATAGAAAATCATTAACAATACATAAATACAATAACTAGTAAAAACAAAAATGATATTATTCTAATGTATTATAGAAGTTAAATGATAAAAAAGAGTTCGAAGATCTGACGAGACTGATAATTTCAATATAAATATGGTCTTAAAAAAAAAAGAAAGTTGTTTAGTTAAAATGTATTATTTTTGTTTAGTAAAATCACCAATGATCGAAAATGTTGGTAGAAATAATTTATCATCATTTAATATTCCATATGTTTCTGTTCGTACTCCATCTAATGATAGTAATGATTTATTAACAAATCGAAAATCTATATCGAAATCGATATCATCATCAAATAATAATTATAATAAAGATAAATATTTTCCTAAAAGAATGAAAAATTTGTTTCGTTCATCAAAAACAATTGATAATATATCAAATAAATTTGTTAATCAAAATAATATATCAAAATCAAAATCAAAATCAAAAGAATATTTATTTTATTTATCACATTCTCAACCAATTGTTAATCAATATATTGATAATAATGAACAAATACCATTAATTCAAGATGAATGCAATAGAAATAAATCCAATATATTATTTGAAAATAAAAAAATTGATTTAAATAAAAAAGGAATTAATTTATCGGTTAATATTGATTGTTTATATCGTAGTCATTCATGTAATGATGGAATAATTAAAAATTTTGAAACAAATTCAAATAAACGAAGATCATTACCTTCATCAAATAGTAGAATATTATCAGATAGAATTAATTTATATTCAGAAAATAAATATTCAAATGATAATAATAAATCTCAAGAATCAATATGTAGTTATGCATCACAAATTGAAAAAGAACATTCAATTAAATCATTTATTATAGAAGAATCATCAAAAAATCCATATAGAAAACAAGATAATGATGTTCTTATTCTTATAGCTAGTTGGATTTTAAGATCACCTGAAGATTTTCAAGGTATTTTATTTAATAATAATAAAATATATTTGTTCAATTATATATTTATTATAGATTATCTTGTACAAAAAGAATTAAAAAGTTTTTTTAGTTTACTTGAATCATTACGTAGTTCATTTCGTAGTTGGACAAGTCAAATAAAAGAAATACTTGCTATTCAAGTAAATAAAACTAAAAACTAAAAATGAAATTTCTATATAATTATTTGTAGGAAACAGATATACCATTAGGTAAACAAATAGATGATGTAACTAGTGATGATATTAATAGAGAATATATTAAAATCCAAAGAGATATTGTTTCGGGACGATTAATTTGTTCAAAAGAAGAAGCATCAACATTAGCTGCTCTACAATTACGTCTTCAATCATGGCCAGAAGAAAATCTTGATCTTATTCAAGGTAATAAAAAACAAAACACATTAAAATCTTATTTTATTAAAATAATTTATTTAGAAGATGATTTTGATACATTAAATATAAGATTAAATGATAAAAGATCATCAACTGTTAATTCAATTGGTTTATATTCTCAATCATCATCATATTCTGATAGAAATATATTTCGTTTAATTAATATTCGTTTATCTAATATATATTGTTGTAAACGTATTGACTCAAATAGTCATAAATCAAAAAAAGAATATCTTCCACAAAATTTTCGTCATAGTAATCAAATTTATAAATTAATTAAAGTAAGTTTAGACTTTTTTATCTTATTGATAATAGAAATCTATTTATAATGATCATATTGAATTATTTCACTTATCTTAATATATATATATAAGATTATCTATAAAAATCATCTATCAATATATAACAGATTTAATGCGAGTCGATTCATTTAATATGAATTTTTTTTTTGTTTTTTTTTCAATGTTAATAATAAGTTTATTTCGAGAATATTAAATAATTATATTATCAATTGACACTAGAAAATCTAATTTACTTTTTTCACATATTAAACTTGACTTTTGTTAAATAATATTTATTAAAATATTGTTTATGAAATTTATTCAGATGAGAATTATTAAATTTAAATAAAAGAATTCGAAAATTAATTTAACTGATAGATTATTGATTAAGAAGATAAATATATTTATATTTATTTATTTATTTAATTCTCTAATCAATTGATCTATATAAGATATTTTCTATATAATTGATTTATTTAAAAATAAAATATAGGATAAACAACGTAAATTATTTCATATAAATGATTATGATAATCCAACACGTTTAAAAGAATGTTATATTCGTTTATGTCGAAATTTACCTGGTTATAATGCTGAAATTTATCTTGTTAAAGAAATTTATGAAAAAAGATCAAAACGAAAAGTTTGTTAATTAATAAAAAAATGAAAAAATAAAATAAATAAATATAATATTCTATTATTATTTAGGGGAATAAACTTCTTTGTATTCGTTGGGATAAAATATATTTATTAGATATGAAAACACGTATTATATGTAAAGAACAACGTATATCTGATGTTGAACATTGGATAACAAGTGGAAATGATTTTAATTCTGGAATAAATCAATTTATTTTAGAATTTCGTAATAAAACAAAATGGATTTTACAAATAAATCGAACAGCTGATTTACGTGCAATAACTGTTTATTTATGGAAATTAGTTAATGTTGAACGTTTTGCTTTACTTGATAAACATATTCCATTAACTTCATCATTACGTCAATATTCTTTAAGTCAACAACAACAACAAATAAATTCTTCAATAAAAATCTCATCAACAAATAATTTAAATAATATAAATAATAAATCATCAACTAATTATTTAAATGAACATTTTATAAAAAAAGATAATATAGAAAATAATCGTCGAAAAACATTAACAGGATCAATAATAAATTCATCATATATGAATAAATGTGATAATAGTCAACCATATTGTTTTTCATCAGATCTTGAAGAATTAAAAAATTTATTTGATTTTCCTGAAGAAGTAGCTATACGTTTAACTGATATTGAACATGAAATATTTCTTAGTGTACCACCATTACAATATTTAAGACATTTAACACTTGATATTCAATATTTATCTACAAATGACAATTCTACACAAGGAAAAAATATTCCTATTCTTGTACAACGTTTTCAAGCTGTAACTTTTCTTTTTTTTTTTATTTTACTCCATTTTTTTTTTAATATTTATTTTATGATTATAGGTTGGATCATTTATTCAACAATTAATTGTTTCTCAAACTAGTTTTCAACAACGTAAAGCTCTTCTTGCATCAATACTTCGATGTGCAATAACTTGTTGGTATATCGGAAATTTTAATAGTGCTATGCAAATTTTAGCTGGATTAAAGTATGTTTTTATTCGAACTTTTTTTCAAATATTTATTTATTTATATTTCGCTCATTATTATATTAAACAAACATTACTCTTCTCAATATTATTTTCATTTTATAGACAAATAGATCATCTTATCAAACCTCGGAGAAAAACTCACCATTTATCGACTTCGGTTATCGCGGTTAACCGATGCTTCTCTATAGTTAACCGGCACCATCTTATTCTTTGTTTCGTTAAGATTTATAGTTAAATTTACCAGTTATTTTTCAATTAACCTTATTTTTATTTTAACCAAAAATAAATATACGAACCGATGCAAAAAAAACACATACATATAAGAACTAATCTTAAAACATAAATATAAAAGAATTAAGGGCGTCTCCCTCTCTCTCCCCAACAAAAATCTCAATTTCGGTCAAATTTTTCGATTTTGTGGTTTATAGCTGGTTAGATAGAACTAAGTGTGTACTTTCGAATGCACTATAGTTTAGTGATTCTATGATTAGATTTAAGAATATTGCACAGGCTTTTATCAACCTTCCATAGGATAAAATATGGTTTTTTCGAAAAACTTTTGCTTTTTTTCTCAAAATAGGATTTTTTATTTTTATGTTTCCGTGTGTCCAAGATTTCTCCTCGATCCTAAACGTTAGAAAATTCAGGCTAGTTCTAAAATGTAGCCAAGATATGGCGCTACAACTTAATAACAGAGTCGGATTTTTCGATTTTCTCATTAATGTTTATAATAAAGAAACTTTTCTGGACCTATCCACATTTACTTTTTCATATATCATCAGAGAAATCTTCTAAAAACACAAGCTAGGAGAGAATCAAAAAATTGGGGTCTTATTAAATTGTAGCACCACGTCTTGGCTACATTTTAGAAGTAGTCCGAATTTTGTAACACTCGAAATGGCGAAGAAATTTGGGACGCATGGACACCTAAATATTGACCTATCCTCTTATGGTAACTCTTAGTAGACTCAATCTATCGAGCTGAAATTATTACTATGAGCTGTTTAGCTCGATATACACCTCTACCGAAAATTTCATCATGATTGAATGCTCGAAAAAAAAAATTTCATTTTAGCGAGAGGAGGAGGCTTCTTAATCTAAAAAATTCTTAATCTAAAAAAAGTAAATATTAAAAAGTTCAATATAAAAAAATGTTAATTCTCAAGTGAACCTCTTTATCGTTATATTGATTATTTTCTCTAACAAGCGATCAAACGAAATAAATGATGCGACAGACACAAACATGTACATATATTTGCTTTATTTTCGTTCTGCAGCCGTTCGCTTTCTATAGTTCACCGAAAAAATGACAAGTGAACCACAATACAAACTAAAACCGTCGGCTTTGACAATAACGACGATTTCCCGGTAAAAGTGATCCGATTTTGGTAACATGGGAGATCTCTAACTTTTGCATTCGATTTGTTTTCTTTATTTAGGAAAGTTTTTTTTTTCCTTTAAATTATTCAATTATTAATAATAGATGGATTGTGAGAATTGATTCGTTAAATGAATTAATCGATCTTAAGTTAGAAAAAATTTGTGATGTTGAACTATCGTTTGAAGTTAAAAATGATGAATTTTCTTCGTCTATATTATGGGATCATCTCATATCTCGAGTAAGCTCAATGGTTTGTAGATAGAAGTGAGCGACGTCGAATCACTCCTTCAGTTCAATCCTAAAATATAAGTCTAAACACTATCGAATAGTTAAGAATAATCATATTGATATAGATTATAATTGATTTGTTAATATTTGTGAACAAGACAATAGACTCAAGAATATTCTTGTGAGAAGCTTGAAGGTTTGTGAGTAGACTAAGCCATCCTTGGGTTCGACAGTAGGTTTAAGATAAGGATTTTTTCTTTGAGTTAAACATTAGAAATAAAAAGTTAAAGATGTTGATCGATTAACTTTAAAATTGAATTTGTCAATATTTTATTGATTAATTCAAAAAAATGAAAAGGAGATCTTTTTCTTTGAAATATTTATAGAGTTTATATAAAAAATGTTGATAAATATAAATAATCTCTATTATTATTATTATTATTGATCGAAATAAATAAATTTGAATATAATTATTGTTTATAAAAAAAAAGAAAATTTTTTTATTTAGAATCGAAGCATTTCGTCCATTATGGTTAACAATAACTGATGAAATGTCAGGTTTTAAATTAGTTATGGATGCATTTAATTCAAATGAAAAAACTCCTCAATATTGTGATGCTGTTAGTCGTGCATTGGATATTCCAACATGTAAAGTAGTACCTTTTTTTGGTACTTTTCTTAAAGATCTTCGAACAATATTAACCAGTGTACCAAGTATAACTGTTTTATCTAATAAAAATACACAAAAACCAACTGAAGTATGTTTTTTTTTAATAAAAAAAAAAAAAATGAAAATATATTTATTATTTAGAATGTTGTAGATATTCAAAATCCAGATCATTATCAAACACGTAAATTTGAATAATTGATTTAATTAAATAAAAAAATAAATTAATTTAAGGTATTGGTGTTGGTGGTTTAATAAATACACGAAAAATGGAAGTTGTTAATATGGTATTAAAAGATATAGCATTATTTCATAATCGTCATCGTCATCAACCATTATTTAAATGTTGTTATGATATTGATTATAATAAATATCCATTAGAATCTTTACTAACAGATATAAAAGAAAAACATTCATCTACAGTTAATGTTCCACCTGATGATAATTCAATAGATAAGTATGTTTGTTTTTTATTTTTATTTTAAAAATTAAATTTCTTTTTTTTTTGTTATATAATAAGATGTAAAGTTCTGTATAATCGTAATAAATCATATCGATGTCAATCAATAACAACAAATGAATTCGATGAAAATGGTATGAAAAATGTTTCAATAAAATTAATTGATGATAATGATAAATCTTCAATAAGTAAAACAAATATTGAACGATATCGTTCAATACTTGATATTGATGAAGCAGAAACATATTATTGTTTAAATGTATCTTTTTATCAACCAATTGCAGAAATAAAACATAATCATCAAGTTTCTTTATTATCAATGCATCATATTATTGATTTTAATTATTTACAAATGCTTAGGTTTGATTTTTTTGTTTTAAATAATAAAAAGAAAAAAAAACAAACTATTATTATAGAAATGGTACAACATTAATTCTTTATGATGAAGATACAATGCATACATGTTTAGTTACTCTACGACTTGAACTTGATAATTCGACATTGACTTGGTTTGAGAGATTTTTATATTTTATTTTTATTTATATTAGAAAAACAAAAAAAATTTTTTTTGTTTTCTTATTTAAAGGACAAAACCTTGTTGGGATAATAATAGAACAGTTGAAAATGTTAATATAACAAATAAATTGTCAAGTGAATCATCATATAAATCAATATTACAGAAACGTTATGTATTTCGAGATATTGCTTTTGTTGATATGGATGAAGGTTTTATTCAATTAAAATATATAAAACATATTCGATCTGGTATTATTCATTGTGATCTTCTTCCTATTATAAAACGTTATAAATTAGATCATATAACTAATTCAGAAAATTCTTTTACTATTATTTATGGTCAATCAATTAATGAAAACAAGTATAATTAAATATTTATATAATGAAAGATTTATTTATTTATTTCTAGAACTCTTTGTTTTATAAGTCCAAAATTGAGTTCACAAATTTGGTATTCATCTATAGATAAATTAATAAAAGAATATGGTAAACATCGTTTATGTACTGATAGACGTATTGTTTGGCTTAAAAATCAATATATTTCATATTATCATGAAAATGAACGTTTTCAAGGTCCAACAGCAATAAATGCTGTTCTTTTATTTGGTGGAAGACAATGGAATTCAAATTCATTTTTTTCTTATCAACGTGATCATTTATCATCAAAAAAATCTTATCAATTTAATAAATCATCCTCTTATACACCTTTGATAAAACGATATCAAGTTCAACAGGTTTGTTTCACATTATTTTCAATTTTTTTTTTTCATTATTATAACGAATGAGTCGAAAATTTTCAGACAGAATTAAAACCTTTATATCTACATTATTTTTCTATTTGGTTTTTTTATTTTTTTATAAAAATTACAATGATATGAGATCAACAAAACTATATAATTACAATATAGAAAACAGTCCTTTGTCCTTAAGTTTTCATAACTTTTCACGAACACTATTTATCAATGTTTAGATGACTTTAAAATCAATTTCCTTCAATTGTCTTTTGATTCTGTTGACCAATTGCTTTTGATTGATAGTCGTCCAACCTCCATTGTACACCTTATCAGCCAACATTGACCAAAAATCTTCGATGGATCTACCTTTTCAAACATTCACCGGATTTATCGATCACGACATGAAGAACATCTTTTTTTCATTAACCCATTCAGTTATCTTTTTGGCGTAATGTGAGATGACAAGATGTTATGTCTCAAGTGTTTCCCTTCACTTCTAAGACAGGATAAAAACGATAACAAACACTGAACACTATATATATATATATATAGATTGATAATAAGATGAAAAGGAGAGTTTAATATAAAATAATATAATAATTGTTTATAGGATCGTAAAGGAAGTATTTGTTTTGAATGTGAATCAAAAGATGGATTAAAATGTGAAGAACATAAATCAAGATTATTATCACGTAATAAATGTAAAAATGTTGAATATAAAACAAAATCATCACTTGTTTTTCAAACTGTTAAATCTTGTCGATTATTAAAAGAACATAAAATATCAAATAAACAAAAATCAATATTAACAACAAATCATTCAATATATCATAGACGAAGATCAAAAAATAGTTTAAATAAGAAAAATGTTAATAATAGAATAAATAAAGAATGTTTATCATCACCATCAATTATAAATGAAAGTTTTATGAATTTTATTGAATTTGTTCAATTATTTAAATCATTTTATTTTCATTGTCGACGTGATTTAAAAGATTTATTTGATAAATTTGCATCAGAAATAAATATTGAACAAGATAATAAAATAAAAGAAGAATATAATTATGATTTATTAGATATTCAAAGACATTTAACAGGTTTAATAACACGAAATATTGTTGAAAATTGTAATGATTCAAATATAAATAGAATTTATGATATGATTGCTATATCATCAATACCTTGTTATGCAATTAGTACACATACACCTAGAAATTATCTTATTACAATTCAACAATTTAGACTATTTTTACTTGAACATCAAAAAGAAGAGAAAAATTTCGATGAAATTCAACAAATTATTTATGTAAGTATTACAAAACATCTTAAAATAAATATTTTTATATTATTATAGAAATTTTCACTTTCATTTTCAATAGGTTATTTATTATCCTATATACAGATAAAAAAAACATTCGAGAGAGAGAAAAATGATATTCTTTAACATATCTCTAGACGAGTGGAGATCCTTTACTAACCTTTTTTATCAACATCTCTATCGTTTGTAGGAATAACGAGATTAAACCTTGTCTACCTCCTATCTCTTTATCCTAGTTGTTTAAAATCATCTTTATATTGATCTCTTTCATAATGAGAACAAATATTCATATAAACTCTATGTCAAAAATAATAATGTTACATTTGTTAAATATAAATGTGCTCAAATCTGGAGAGATTTTTATAATATATTCATTATTTATATTGTTTTGTCGAGGTAGAATGACACCTTTATAAGACTAAAAAAAGGTCAAAAAGTATTTGTTCCGATGAATGTTTGAAGTTAAATTAGGATGATTTTATTCTATTTTCGATAGATTCGTAGATAAGTACTGAAAAAAACAATTTTAACCTGAGATTTTCCTCATAGATCAGATTAGTCTAATGACCTGTAGAATATTCTTAAATTTTCAGTAAAAAATAATATTCTTTTGTCGATATAGAAAATATTTCGAAAGAAAAAAATTCTTTAATCATAATCATTATAGAAATATTCTATGGATTTTAAAATCCGAATATCTCAACAAAAGAATTTTATTTTAGATAAAAACTTTGAAAATATTTTATAACTTATTAGATTTATCTATTGAGAAAAATGTCAAATCTGAAATTTGATTAGTCGATTATTAAGTAAATATATTTAAATAGAGAGAAAATAAAATAAAACAATCATAACTCACTTGTCAACAGTACATTAGATAGAAAATAAAGTGTTTATCAAATATTATCAGAGAGAATCGAAATCTAATATAATTGTCTTTTCTCAAAATCTTATATAAAAAATGAAACTAATCGAAGTTGATTGACGAATAGAAATAAATTTGTTTCAAAGAGAATTTTATTTAATATTGACAATGAAATTTTCTAAAAAAACCAACTGAATGTATTTATTATTGTTTTAGCGTCATGAACCTAATCGAGAAAATCGTTTGAATAAAGTTCTTTCATTTGAAGGTTTTTCACGTTATCTATTAGATAAAGATAATTATGCATTTATTAATGAATATACAAAAGTTAATGAACAAGTAATTATAATAAAATAAACTAAAACAAAAAAAGATGTTAAATTAAAATAAATTTGTTTTATTTAGGAAATGAATAATCCATTATCATATTATTATATAGCTTCATCTCATAATACATATCTAACAGGACATCAATTACGTGGTGAATCATCAGTTGAAATGTATCGTGAAGTAAGTTATTTAAATAAAATAAAAAAAAAGAAATTAGAAAAAAAAAAAACGTCGAATTAAAGGTATTATTATCTGGTTGTCGTTGTATTGAACTTGATTGTTGGGATGGTGATGATGGTTATCCAGTTATTTATCATGGACGAACATTTGTTAGTAAAATATCATTTAAATTAGTTGTTGAAGTTATAAATGAAAGTGCTTTTCTAACATCTCCATATCCAGTTATTTTATCAATTGAAAATCGTTGTTCATTAATTCAACAATCACGTATGGCACAAATATTTGTTAAAGTATTTGGAGATAAATTAATTAAAAAATATTTATTTGAAACTGATTTTAATGAAGATTCATTATTACCATCACCTAATCAATTAAAATATAAAATATTAATTAAAAATAAAAAAATAAATAAAATTCATTCAACAACACATTTAGGAAAACAAAAATTACAATTAACTGTTAATTATAGAAATTCAATTTATTCATCACCTGATGATAATGATGATGATGATGATTCGGATGACGATTTTATTATTGATGATTTTAATTATCAACAATATCAAAGACAACAATCACATAGATCAAATTCAGTTACTGATTCACCTATTTATCAATTTAAAAAAAATTTTATTAATCAAACAAATTATCAACATACTCATCACGATTTGTAAATTACAAATTTATTCAATTAACAAAAAAAATTTTTTTTTTTTTTTTTATAATAAGATTATATCAACAACGGCGTTATACGATTACAAATAATCAACCACGACAACGTTTAAAAAGTAGTAGTTCAATCGATGCTAATCATATTATTAAACAAAATAAATCAAATAATCTTATGGCTAAAATACCAACTATATTAGTAGCGAAAGAACTATCAGATATTGTTATTTATACACAAGCTAGCAAATTTAAAGGTTAGAATATTATTTATTATTTACAAATCCTACCAGACTTTTATATCGACTTCATGCAAATAGAATCAAACTTCTACCACTTCTACGCCTTAAGTCTCTAAGCACAGATGTAGCTTTTCGAAATTTTAAAAATCTTTCGAACCGGGGGGAGGGAAGAAGGAGGCAATTTGGGATCTCCCAGCAAGACGGTACTTTAACTATTTCCTTTCTAGCAGAGGTTTTTTCTCCTCGTGTTCTGTTTTTTGGGAAAATGCTAACTTTTGACGTTTTGTGAGCTGAAATATCTCTATGAAGCGTAAATATATTTTTAAGTTTGATTAGTGCTTTATAATGGTCTAATCGTCCTCTATCCAATGCTGAAATTTGCAGTTACTGTGTCTTGTTCCTAAACCGAATGGCAAAAGCGTCTTTGGGATCTACTTTCCATTTTTTTCCAACTTTGCACCACCTCCAGCAAACTTACGGAATTGTCAATATCTGCTCTTTAATGGAACATCATCAACATACTTAGATCCGTGACTTCTGAAAATGTCATCTTTGGTCAATAAGTTTTACCCAAAATCGATTTTTCTGGTTTTCTGTAGACAAATCTGCTAGAAACCCGATACAAAAAACTGTCTAAATCGATTTAGGTAACACTCATTGGCCAAAGATTAAATTTTCAAAAGTCACGGACCTAAGTATGTTGATGATGTTCCATTAAAGAGCAGATCTTGAGAATTCCGTAGGTTTGGTGGAGGGCGGAGGTGCAAAATGAGGAAATATTCGAAAGTAGATTCCAAAGATGCCTTTCCCATTCGGTCTAGAAAAAAAGACACAGAACTGTGGATTTCAGCATTGGATAGAGGACAGTTTGACCATTCTAAATCACTAATCAAACTTAAAAATATATTTATGCTTCATAGACATATTTCAGCCCAAAAAACAGAACACGAAGGAAAAAAATGTCCGCTAGACAAGAAATAGATAAGGTCTCGTTTTGGTGGGAGACTCCAAATTGCCTTCCCTCCTCCTCCCTGCTCGGACTCATTCGGAAGGTTTTTAAAATTTTGAAAAGCTACACCTGTGCTTAGAGACCTAAGGCTTACAAGTGGTGAAAGTTTGATTCGATTTGCATGAAGTCAATGTAATTGTAGTAGATTTTCGAAAGAATTCTCCACATTCTTAAATGATTATTTATCTAACTATTGAAGAACTCTTTAAAAGGTCAATTATATATAAAAAAAGATAGAGGAAAAATACTGTCAAGTTGATGGTAATAATTCTATTGTTATCATTGAGACAGTTATTCTTTGTTTCATTCTGCTTTTTCCTATTTCGATGATAAAGACGGTAAATAACAATGATATGTTAGAACACATTCAAAAATCTAAAATATTCTACTAGGTGATTGATAAAAAGTTCTGTTTCGAACGTTTAAAAAAAACAAAAGTTAATATCGAAAGTTTTATTGTATGTATAGATGGTAGAATAGCTTGTTTAGAATAATACCATATAAAAAATCTATCTTGAATAAAAATTCTAAGATTGTTTTAGATAAACTCGATTATCTCAGACCGAGGCGAACGAAAATCAAAACGCATTCCGAAGGTGATGTGCCGTTTGAAATGTATTTTGGTTTTCGTTCGCCTGTTCCAAACATATTTTGCTTTGTTGATCTCGATCTGTGATAGTTAGAAATTAGTAAAAGTTCTGATAAGATGAAAGAAAATTATAAAAAGAAAAAAAAAAATTTAATTTAATATTGAAAATAGTGATCATTATTGTTTATATAAAGTTCGATATTTTCTAACAGTTTGTCGAAAGTTTTTTAAATTCTTTTTTCTCGAATATTGTTGATTATGTTAGAAATGTGGTGAACTAGAGATTCTTCGTTTGGTTTATCAATGAAATAATTCTTGATATAATCATTTAGCCAAAAGTTCAATAGTGGAAGATCTAGTGAATATGATCTATGTGTCATTATTTGAATAGTTTGTTTTCTTAGTTATGTAGATAATTCTAGAAGAGTCAATCTATAATCTATTCAAATAATAAAACTTTCGATATAAAATATTTTATTAGATTTAACAGACTAAGATGAGAACTTTTGATTAACAATAATTATTAAAGTAAGATGATAATAGTTCGACTAGATATTGATTTCTAAACAAAGATTAATCTATTTTGAAAAATATTTTAGTATGTTGAGATTAATCTATTGATATTATGATCAGAGTTGAAAGATAGATGAATTATTCTGACGATTTAGAATTTTTATTCGAATTAATTATTAATGGAAGATTTTACATTGAAATATTGGTAAAAAAAAAACAAAAGACTTATGATTTGTTTGAAAAGTTTGATAATTATAAATATTGAATACTCTCTATATAGGATTGACTTGTTCATCGATTTCAGCAAGTTCAATTGGTATAAAATATGTTCGAAAAAGTGGTAAACGTAATATTCAACAGCTTGTTGCTCAACCAAGTACAACAAGTAAAAATGGAATTTTTATATAAAAAGATAAATAAAATTTATTTATTTAAACAATAAACAGGTACTGAAAGTTCTCGATCGGTTGATCAAGTATCCCCATGTCATCAAGTTGTATCATTAATTGAAAATAAAGCAAAAAAATTATGTAAAAATCAAGGAATAGATATGATATCGTAAGTTGTTAAGTTAATTATTTTAATATATAAATAAATAAAATATTTTATCTAGACATACTGAAACTCAACTTGTTCGATGTTATCCAAGTGGATTTCGTGTTGATTCATCCAATTTTAATCCATTACATTTATGGACATATGGAATTCAGTATTTATTACACTTTTTTAAAAAAAATGTTTATATATCTTTCTTTTTAATATAAATACTTTCAGATTGGCTGCAACAAATTATCAAACATTAGGTAAATAAATCAATCTTTTTTTTTTACATAGGAACAAAAAAAAGGTGAATTTTTCTTATTAAGATGCTGGACAAATTCTTAATTTATCAATGTTTGAACAAAATGGTAATTGTGGTTATGTTCTTAAGCCAAATGTTTATTGGGATAAAGAACATCCACAATATAATCGTTTTAATCCATCTATTATCGAACGTGAAGGTTCTTGTTTAGAATTAACAATAACAGTTTGTTTAATTAGAATTTAACAAAATATTTATAAATAAAACTAATTTATTTAGATAATATCTGGTCAATATTTGACACAAAATACTGGTTCAACAACAAGTGTTTATATTGAAGTTGAACTTATTGGTATTCCAATTGATTGTTTATCAAGAAAAACTAAACCATCAGTTAAAAATTCATTAAATCCTATTTGGCAAGAAACATTTATATTTCAGGTATTATATAAATATTTATTAGTTTTATTATTATATAGATTCAATTAATAAAAACAAAAAAAAAAATTTTTTTCTAATTTTTCTAATTTTTGAATGACTTATCTTATATTTAAAATTATTGTCCATAAAATCCTTCTTTCATTTAATAGAATTTATATCAAATATCAGATAAATATTTTACTCTATTAGAATTTCATCAAATTTTCACAAATGTTTAACAGTTTCCGATCAGAAATTATTCGAAGTTGAGAAGAGACCGTCGCAGGAGAATTTTTTGCATGGACGAAACGCTCAAATGTTTAATTATAGTAGATATTTCTATATCTAAAGTCGACTTGTTAGAGTATCATCTAAGAGTATGGATTTTAGGGTATGAGTATATCTTCCAAGTTTAATCGATATGATATACCTACATTGTGTACCTCTGCACTCTTACATCATACTTTATGAAGTCGTGTTCAGATATAGAAATATCTACCATAATGAAATGTTGTATCGTTTTGTTCATACGACGTTTCGTCCATACAACGTCTTGTCCTTAAAACATTTTGTCCCTACGACGTTTTGTTCGTGCGACAAATTGTTCGATCACCCGTCAAGCAGTCTAAAAATTGAATATGAGACTGTTTAGAATATAGGGAAGTACGGTTGTGTAATAGTGCATCTACGAAAATCTGAATAAATTATCTATTAATTATTTCGAAATATAAAATCTGATTGTGTTATTTGTTTGTAATAAATATTTAGTTGTTCTTGATCGAATTATCATTTATACGTTTTAATGTATACGATACTGGAAGTAATCATTTAATATGTCAACGTGTAATGCCTGTTAAATGTCTTCGACCTGGTTATCGACATGTTCGTTTAAGAGATCCAACAAATATTCCATTAGAATTAACAACATTATTTATTTATTCGAAAATAAGTGAAACAATATTAATTCGTAGTTCAGAAACAGATATATCAACATCAAATACTCCACATTTATTTCGTAATAGAATATTAAGACGAACACCTGATACAGCTGAGATTGTTGGTGTATGTAGAAAGAAATTCTTTTTATTTTTTTTATTTTTATTTTTTTGTTAATATATAAATAGACAAGTCGTGAATCAATTCAACCTAAACATAAAAGATTTGAAGTTAAAGTTTATGGTAAAGATGGACGTGACGAAGAATTTCGATCATTTGCTGTAACACAATATACAACTGTTGAAGAACTTATCGAAATGGTATTATTGATAAATAAATCTAATTATTGTTTATAATAAATAATTAAAAATTTTAGATAGCTAAAACAAATGATTTTATTAAAGTTGATGAAACAATAAATGATATTATATTAACAGAATCATCAAAAACATGGAAAAAAAAAGGTTCATCATCAAAACATACTGATATATCACCTCGAATACTTGAAAAATATGAACGAATTCTTGAAGTAATCGATCGTGTTGGTCGAGAAACAGTTATTCTATGTAAAAAAAAAACTCAAACATCAGTAAGCAATTAATCAACATTTTATTTATTTTTTTTTTTCAAAAAATTTAAATAAAAATAATTAATTTATTTGTTTGATTAGCATTTATTACATTCAGGATTTAATAATGAAAATTGGGAAAATAGTGATGAAACATTTGTTGTTACTATCTATAATATATCATCTATAGAAAAACATATTAGTTTTCGAATACCAATTAATTCAACTGCTAATCATCTTATTACACAAGTAATTTTATTTTAATTAAAAATAATAAATAAATCTATAAAATATTGAATTAATTTAGTTAATGAGAAAAATCTATCTAAATGGTGTATCAAATGATTATGGTCTTGTTGAAGAAATAAATCTAAATGAAATAAATAGTCGAATACCAATAAAACGTCGTTTAATAAATGATCAAGAAAATCTATATGAAATTCAACGTTTATGGACATCAACTAATTCAAAATTTATTTTAGTTAAAAAATGTCAATATTCAAAAATAAATAATAAGAAATCTTTTTTTCGATCATTAAATAAACAAATATCTATTGATCAAGATTTACATCAAGGTAAAACATTTTTTTTTTCTTTTATTAAATGAAAATATTAAATTAATTTAAATTTATTAAATATAGATATTAATCTAGATGATCAATTTAAATCAGGAATAAATAATAATTTAACATTAAATAAAAGTTTATACAATAATCGATCTACAATTTCATCAACACAATCATTATCTAAATATAATCAAGCTAAACGTTCATTCAAAACATTTTTTTTAACAACCAAATCATAATTAATAACCAACAAAAAAAAAAGATTTTATTTTTTAATGATGCCGTCTTGTCAAATATATGTAGATTTCTTTTTTTTTTCTTTCTCTTATTGTTTGTTGCTATAACTTCTCTCTCTCTTTCTCGTTAATTGAAGAGTGTTGTTATATACCGGTTTTGTTTTGTTTTGTTTTCGATATAATTGTTGATGTTTGAATTTGTATTAGTAAAGATTGCAATATAGAATGAAACGAAAAGAGAGAAAGAAATATATAAATCTAATAAATTTATTCTTTTATTAAATGAACTGTTTATCTATCAGTAAACATATATAAAAGTTATTCTCTCAAATCGAAGAGTATAGTTTAGAATCTAATTGAAATTTAATTTCGAAGAAAATAAACAATTCTCTAGACAACTCATAAAGATAAAAAATCTTTATGGAAAATATATTCTAGGCATGGAAAGATTTTTCAAAAAAAAATCAATTTGTCTTTCGTTAGTGACATTATGGAGTGCAGATATAAAAAACAAATAAATGCTTTTAGAATTGAATAACAAGTTCGAAAGTAATTCTAAATGGTAAAAATTCTTTCTCGAAATCTCTATATGATAATATGAAAAAATCTTTTGTTTGATCAGTTGATAGGGTCTCTACTAGAAACACATCATTTTCTAGAGGAATTTTTTTCGAGTCCAATTTTGCTGAAAATTTAACAATAGATGCAATATTGTTGTCTTGTAGAGTCTATCCGAAAGTTTTTCGAATTTTTTTCTCGTATGGTTAAAGAAGTATTTGCTAATTGGTTGTTAATTAATTAAAAAAAATAGTCAGATAAGTATGTCTATGGTATGTAAAAGAATTTATTGATAAAACAAACTCTGATAAAGAATGAAAGTTAAATGAAACACGGGTATATTTTCTTTTCTCTTAAATAGGACATATATACCATTTATGAAAAAAAAAAACGTTTATTAGCCTAGTTTTTCTAATTGTTTAACCATTTGAGTCCGGGATTATTTTTATGTAGTAAAAACGAGAGAGGTTGGTAGGCAAATCAGCCCTAGAAAATTTTTTTGATTCGAAACTCCAACTATATTATACCAAACGAAAGAGCTTCGTGAGTTGAGCATTTTTTGTGACGGAACCCAACCTTTTAAATGAAACCATGGAAAGTTCTGAGGATGTCAACGACTAAAATGACTGAAATTTTACAATTTAGCTTATTGGAAATTGTTCATAGTTTCATTTAAAAGATCAAGTTCCGTCACAAAAAATGCACAACTCACTAGGCTCTTTCATTTGGTATAATATAGTTGAGATTTCGAATCGAAAACTTATTGTAGGCCTGATTCGCCTATCAACCTACTCGGGTCCTTTATACTATATAAAAATAATCTCGAACTCAAAGGGTTAAAAGTCAATCAGTAATCATCAGTAAGTATAGACAATCTTTACCGTACAAATATCCGAAATATAAATATTCATACAATCCACAGCTTTAAATAACCAAACGATCATGTTTTTCAAAGTTATTCAGAACGAAAAGTCTCAGGACGAGAATTTTCGTCGCCCGGATCCAATGGGTTAATATTGAAATGATATCTATCATAGATTCTTTTTTTATCGTATTCAACATATATATATATATATATATAATATTTGTTTTTGAGTATGACTGATATTTAACTGATAAAATATTCTGTGATTAATTATTCTAGGTTGAAAGATTTTTTTTGAATTCGTTTATGATAGATAGTTAAATATGTCATTTTTAATGATAATAGATTGATTTCAAAATCGATAATCAATTAAAAAACATTGAATAAATAACATAAAAATATTGACAATTATTAAAAACTACTGAAAAAAGTAAAGTCAAACAAAACAAAGCTTTTATTATTTTCACTTAAAACAATTTCAAATACACATAGAGTATTTTATCAATAATTCGAAATAAATATATTCAATTAAGAATATTTATAAACTTATTCGAAATATATTCTTTTGTTTATCCATAAAGAAAAGAAATATATTTTACTTGAGACACAAATATATATATGAAGAAATAAAACAGCATTGAGTATCCTAAGCATCATCTATATAAATATATATATATATAGATTATTTAGGTCCATTAAAAGGCATATGTGTTCGTTGAGGACGAGTTGATACTCCACCATTAGCACCTGGTAAAACTCGTGTTCGATCAATTTTTTCTGATAGATGATCAACTCGAATATCTTTTAAATGAAGTAAATGTTCAAGTCGACGAATTTTTGCTTGTAAAATCTTGAATAAATAAAAAATATAAATTTGATGATAATAATCAATATTTACTTGAATTTGTTCTTCTTTTGCAAGACATTCTTGTTCTTTTTCATCATATTCAATACGACTAACCATATCTCGATTTAAATTATGCATTGATTCAGATTTTTTTTTAATACTAATATCATCTTACAAATATTTAATTAAATTTAAAATATTAATTCTTACTTTCCACCTTGTATTCGAGATTTTGATACTGAATCTAAAAACAAAGAATAATCAAAAAGAGAATATACATTTAAACAACTACCAACAATAATTTAATTAAAATATTTATTTTCATATAGTTTATAGTATATTTACTCAACAAGAAGGAATATATAAAATAGGATTTTTCCTATATATTTCTCAATAATGTTATATGTTAAACCATGTCGTATATTTAATTGAACTACTGTATGTTATACCGGTGGTTCTTTGAGATACCGCAATATATTGATGGTTGTCTTTTATTGATTAGTAGAACTAATAATAGCAGATCGAACGGTAAGAAAATTTTTTAGATTATTTCACATATTGATATGCGGATAAGGAGGCGTTTTTTATAGGATAAGAATATTTAATGGCTTACTAAACTAAGATTCATCTTGAATCATCGTTAAAATATTGTTCTTGTTTAATCAATGAGTAATATATTCAGTGTAGTTTGTTCGATGAAGTTGAAATTATTTTTTATATAAATGAAGATTAAAAATTTTATTTGAATAATGTAGTATATCACTATAAATCGTCTTTAGTTTTATTTTTATATATTATTCTTTGTTATATTTTATATTAATAATAAAAATGATATTTTTTCGATAGAATTTCTCATAAATTTGTCAGGTTCTATTAAAGAAAATGATAAATGAAAGAAGAATTAACAATTGCTATTAATGTTGATTATTGGTGATCTCATCATTCTAATAAATAAATATTATTTGGCCTACGCGACAATATTGATTACCTTTTTTTTTTTGATAAAAAATTCTCTAATTTTGTATATAAATATATGTTCACTTATTCGGAAATAAAATCTAATAATTTTTTCTAAAAATATGTCTATTATCTATTGAATTACTCTGAGAAAGAATAAGATCTTACTCAAAAACGTATACTATATATCAGGATTATTTATTGAAAAAACTTAGTTAACCAATATCTTATAGATATAAAATAAGATTTATTTCTCGAATAGGAAGATTATTATATGAGTAAATTCGAATCTAGATAATACCAGTAAAACAAGATATTTCTGAGAGTATTTATTCTGTTTAAATGATATGATTAGTTATATAATTAATTAAGTTAAATGTTTTGATGAATATATTTATATAAAAATTACTTTGTTGAGGTGGTGGTGAATATAGTTGACGTTGTCGAGGTGTTATTTTATTCGATTGATTTGTTTTAGATTTTTGATGAAGAACACTAAATTAAAATAATAATAAAAAGAGTTTTTATTCTAATTAAATAAATTAAATAATTAATTCTGTAAAATAAACTACTACTAGTATTAACTTTTGATTAGTAGTAGATCTTATTAAAATTTTTAAAAAAACAGAAAGAAATTGTTACTTGATATTAACAAACAAATTCTAATAAAATATTTAAAGAAAAAAAAACAAACCGATCTTGAGGATCAGTAGGATTTGTTTCCATTCCATAAAGATAACTGAAAGAGTATAAATATAATTAAAATAATAATTATTTATATAAAGAATGATTATTAAATTGTAAAATAAAATTGAATATAATAGTTAAAATGAAACATACTCATCTATTTTTGTTCGTAAATTGTAAAGAAATATTTCAATAAGTCCAGCTCGACCAAGACATATACCACGCATTATATCTTCAGATACATTAAGACCAAATCGACAGAAGATTTTTCTAAATTATTCAATATTTTTTTTGTTAAAATCAATTTCATCATAGAAATTTGAAAATTTTTTCATAATACTTTATATAAAATAAACTCATCAATAGTTTTATCAAATAAAGTTAACATCTAAGATCGATTTTAATACCGATAATCAATGACAATTTAAACATGATGATGGATAAAGTTGATATGTCAATATCATATTTCAACTCTATGTCAAATCGAGTAGCTCAACAAACATATTTTAATTTTTAATGAAATTTTTCGACTTATCTTATGAGTATAATATAGATTTCTAACGAAAATTTCAAGTTAAAACTGTTAATATTAGTTTTAAAATAAAATCTATCTCTAAGTAAAACTAAAATAGGTGTATCACTATTAGATAATCGATCGAAATCGATCTATTGATCATCTTATCTAAATATACTCTATCGGATGAAATATGATTCAATAAAAACAAATGTCTAGATGTTGAATAGTTTTCTTCATTATGTTTTTTGTTCAAATACAAAACATCGAATTTTTCTTATATTTTATCTTTATCATAAGTCGAATATCTTTTTCAATATATTTATTAACAAAGTTATAAATATAATTTTAATAAAATCTATTATTAAAAAGTAAATAATATAAAAATCTCTGATATTTATTATTTAATAAAAAAAGATTGTTGATAATTATCATCGATGAAATTTGATTTAAAATAAATAAAAATTATCTTAGAAGAATAGAATATAAAAGTATACTCAAACAAGACACAAACATTATTTAAGAAAATCGGAAAATATTTCAAATATTGAAACGATTTTTAATTTATTTTCTGA